GGGGGGGGGGGGGGGGGGGGGGGGGGGGGGGGGTGCGGTAGGACACATGCATGGGGAGCAGAGGTGGGGTGCAGTGTCCCCATGCCCCCCCCATGTCCCCCCTGCAGTCACAGCAGTGTGCAGCAGTGCTCCGTGCTCCGGGCCCAGCTCACCCAACAGCTCCCACTGCGCCATTGCTGAGAACGGCTTCACCGGCTCCGTCCCCAACATCCATGCAGAGGTGCGTGCACACGCGTGCAGTTAGCATGTGTGCAGTTAGCATGTGTGCAGTTAGCATGTGTGCAGTTAGAACGTGCGTGGCGCGTGCATGCGTGTGCTCAGGGTGTGTGCCTGGTGTCCGTGCGTGCAGTTGCTGTGTGCTCAGTGCTCGTGTTCTCAGGGTGCACGCGTGCAGTTAGCGTGTGTTAATTTGCACACGCGTGCTCAGGGTGCACGCATGCAGTTAGCATGTGCGTGCTCAGTGCATGCATGTGTTAAGTGCCCATGCAATTAGTTTCATGCACGAGTGTTAAGGATCCGTGCATGTGTTAGCTCAGTGCACACGTGTTAAGGTTCCATGCATGCACTTAGCATGTAGGCTCAGTGCATGCGTGCACTCAGGTGTGTGCATGCAGTTAGCGTGTGTCTGCTCGCTGCACAGCTGTGTGCATGCAGTTAGCATGTGCGTGCTCAGTGTTAAGTGCCCATGCATGCACTTAGCATGTGTTGGCTCAGTGCACACACGTGCTCAGGGTGCGTGCAATTAGCATGTGTTAGCTCAGTGCAAACACATGAAGGATCCATGTGTGCAGTTAGCATGTACTGGTTTGGTGCACACGTGCTCAGGGTGCATGCGTGCACTTAGCATGTGTTAGCTCAGGGCACGTGCAGTTGCACACGTGTTTGCTCATTGCAGACCCATGCTGAGCTGCACCCATGTGTGTGTGCTCAGGGTGCTGTGTGCACACCTGGGGTGCACACGTGTCCCTGTCACTGGGGCCGTACACCCATAGGGGTGCAGGGTGACCCCTCCCCAACCTCCCAACTGCAGCAGCTGCTGCCCCAGCCCCGTGCTTTGGCCCTGGATGGCTCCGGGCAGCTCAGCCTCTACACGTCCCCATCACTGCCCAACATCTCCCTGGGGCTGCAGGCCACCGTCACCGTCACCAACTCCCACCTCAACGTGAGTGTGGGCTGGGGTCTGGGGTCCCGAGGGGAGCTATTGGGATCTGGGGTGCCCATAGAAGGGGCTACTGGGGGGATCTGGGGTCTTACAGGGCGGCTGCTGGGATCTGAAGTCCCATGGGGTGTTTACTGGGGGATCTGGGGTCCCATAGGGGGGCTACTGGGATCTGGGTG